CAGGAGAGCGGACTACCCAGAAGCTCATGGTGACCTGGGGTCTCTCCTTCCGATTCCCTGTCCTTGGCTTCTGGTTTAATGGGGGCTACGTAGGGCTGGGGGCTCCTGTCTCCAACCCGAGTTGCCATGGAGAGGGGTGGGGCTCCCACAAATCCAGAATGCCCGTGACCTGTGACACAGGTGTGGCCCGCACCTCTCTGACCCAGAGTTCCTGGCTCCTAGCAGCTTGGAGCAGACACCTATAGCCCCATCAGCACTCCCGCCCAAGCCCCTGGCCCCAGCTCCCTGTCAATGCAGACCCCAGGGATGCAAGGGACAGTGACTCCAGAGGTCAGGTACCTGCTTCAGCCCTGCCCAGTCAGTTGGCAGACAGGAGCTCTCTCTGTTCTCTCCCAGCAACCCCGGTCCTGCCTCTGCAACACGCTGGGCCTGTTGTTGCCCTGCTGCTGCCCTGCTGCTGCCGGACACAAGGGTGGTCAGGTAATGCTGCTGTGCTCCTCCAACAGGGAGCACAGTCAGCTGTCTGCCAACATTGGATCCACACCTGGGGAGGATCCACACCTGGGGAGGACTGAGCTGCGTCCCTGTCCTTCCCTGTTGCTTCCCACAGGGACTAATGACAGTTCTCAGGCCGCAGTCAGACTTACCAGGAGCACACACTTGGTCCATCCACACCACTTCTGCAAGAGCGCCCCTCCTCCTGACCCCACCAGCCTGAAGTGTTGGCTGCAGAACCTGGCCAGGTTTCTAAAACATTCCCAACATGGAAGCTTGGCTACAAACCAAAGTGCCAGGTTTAACACCTCTTCCCATCGTTTCAGGATACTTCTGTCAGGTGCTGTGTGACTGCCCGATGCCCAGGCCAAGGGATAGCAGAAGCTCACAGACCCTCATGACATCTCGCCCTGGCTGTGTCCCCAAACTACCCCCAAACCAACACAACTCCTTTCCAGACACAGCCAAAGCTGCTGGGTTTCCTGTCCCTGAGGCCTGAGCAGTGGAAGGGGAAAGGAGTCGGGAGCCTGGTGTTCAGGGACTGGGGGAATTGTTTCAGGTTTGTCCAGAGCAGCAGGAGTGCTGGGATCCAGTGATCTCAGGGGCCCCTGCTGCTCCCAGGGGAGGGGTGGCTGCAGGCTCGCCTGCAAGGCCCTACAGGTGGCGAGGGGGACTCCCCAGGGCAAGTCCCAGGGGGCCTGGGCAGTTCCAAAGTAGCATGTGTCTCTTCCTGTCCCTGACAAGTGTTGGCAGTGCCTGAGACACCTTCAGACATGAGGGCGACCCACGGCCAGCAGCTCCCACTTATAGGCCCTGCTGGACACCGGGCTGGCCTGGCCCAAACTCCCCAGTCGGGGAAGGTACAGAGGTCTGGGACCCCCTCCTGCAGGGGCAATGCTGACCTGGGGGACCAAATAAGCTCCTCAAATGCCACATGGCTCTCACCTGTCCTCAGGCACCATCTGAACATCCCTGCCCCAGCACCTCAAAACTGTTCGAAAACAAGAAACTCCATCACAGGTCGGAGACCAGGACAGCCGGCAGGAGCAGGGAGCACCCAGCCCTTTCCTCTGGGCCAGGACACCATCCCTGTGTGTACTCTGGAGTCAGGCAGAGGGGTGGGAGGGGTGGGAGCAGCGTCTAGGGACTGACCATCCATTTCCTGATTCACCAAGGGACCGTGACTCAGGCCAGGGTGCGTGGCGGTCAGTGGCCAGCTTGCTGAACTGGACCCAAGACTTGGTCTAACGGCTCTTTCTCAGCAGCCAACTATTCTATCTCCCTTTTATTCTATGAAATCATCTAGAAAACATCTCCTGGCAGCCTGGTTACACATTCAAAAGGCAGAATAAAAGTGAACCCTGGGAGAAGCGGGGAATTCCATGGGAAAAACGCCTCCATGGTCGAGCAGAAAAGGAAGCGAGCTTCCCGAGGGAGGGAGGGAGGACAGTTGGAACATTGACCAGGACGCCCCTGGGGGCTGGGTCCGTGAAGCCCTTGACTTCGGAGCAGGTGAGCCAGCTGGCCTGCACCTGCCCCCCAGGGTGTGTTGGGCTCACACAGCTGAGCGCTCCTGCTGCCCTCCCTGCCATATGGTTGCTGCCACCTCACTCCTGTTCCTGCCCGGACATGCTACCCTGGGTCCCCTGTAGTTAACTGTACAGCGGCGGCTGTACTCCAGGCTGGGCTGGGAGCACGCCAGGGCATCACATGACAGCCAGGGGCTGGGAATGCCACCAGACATCGCCCACAGCAGCACTTGCCATGTCACACTACTCACTGGCTTGGGGGGAGGGCAGTTTGCAGCCTCTAGCTTCTTTCATTCTTCCCAGCACCACATTTCCAATAAACCTACAAACACTGAAGCCCTGGGGCAGGAGTGGTGGGGGAGGACATTTGTGTCTTAATGAAGTTTCCAGTCTTCAGGAGACAAGTAATTCTCAAATATATTAATTTACTCCCTCAAAGCATCTCATGAAAACAGTTCCATTTGTGGCCCCAAGTTCCCCAGCAGGGAACCAGGAAATGCAGTTAAAAGGGGTAGTTCTGGGTGGTAAAGGGACAGTGCCTCCCAGGGCATGGAAATCTTCGAAGAGCTGAAGCGAACACAAGCGCTTGGGACACAAGTCCAGGTTGGGTCCACACTCAGTACACAGCAGGCAGAGGCCACAGCCATGGCAACCACACAAAGGGAGCCACAGGGAGGTGGGAGCCACGGGGACACGGGAGTCATAGGGAGGCAGGAATCGTGGGGATGTAGGAGCTAGGGGGACGCAGGACCCACAGGACACGGGAGCCATGGGAGTGACAGTTGGAGTTCTAGCTTTTCCACTCCTGACACAACTCACTTCCCAAGTGCCTGTGAGAGCAGCAGAGGACAGTCCAAGCCCTGGGGCTCCTGTGCCCACACTCCGGATTCCAAGCTAGCCCAGCTCTGGGGAGGTACCTTCCTCACCCTCTGTGTATGTGTGTGGGTGCCTGTCTCTAGACAGCAGTATAATTGAAAAAGTCTTGGAGACTTCACGAGCTTGAGGTGAGTCCTCCCCTCTCACCTTCACCTTCTCCGTCCACTGGCCGAGACCAAGCCCCTGGCCATGCTGCTCTGTCCTGGACCAGGATCCTCACCACAGAATATTCCAGCACAGCCTGCATCATCACGTGGCCTCCTTCCTATGTGATGAGCACCTGTCGTGTGTCAGCAAAGCCTTGGGAACCCAAGATGTGCTCCGAGCCACAGATCCGCCTTGTGCACGGTCTTATAAGCAGGCCAGGAAGGACAGGGGAGGCTCTGGGGACAGTCCCCCAGGTCTCCAGGACAGCAGGATTTTTTTATCAGAGGAGTGACGAGGTGTTCACTCTGTCCAAAGTTCAGTTACTCTAACTCACTGGTGTCACGTCTCGAAGGTCACACCAAGCTCTACCTCATTCTCATGCTTTCCTGTCCAGAGACCAGGCACTTGGGGTCCCTCAGCCTTGGTAAAAGAGCTGCCGCGCCTCTTGCTGATGCCTCCCTCTGCCGTCTTCCCTGACTGCAGCAGAACTGCAGCTGCTCAGAGTCCTGGCGGGGAAGCCATGTTGGACGGTCACTGCACACGACTGCGTGCATCACAGGATAACCACACACACCACACATGAAGCCAGACACGTGCCAAGATCATTTCACATGATGGAAACAGGCACATGTGGTCGTTACACATGACCAAGTATGTACCATGGTCACTACAGGACCGCCACAGTCATCATATATGACGTCATCCATGTATCACAGTCATTGCACGTGATGGCCACATGTGTACCACTGTCAAGTCCCATAAAGGAAATACACAGGCCATGGTCACCACAGGAGACCAGGGTCGCCATAGTACACTCACACACAAAGGCCATCGCACAGGCTTGCCATGCACACATCACACACCGGTCACATGTATAACCAGTCATCACACAATGGCTGTGACGTACACATCATTGCTGGTGGCCTTGTACACACGACGGTCACTGCACAGGACAGTTGCACCTTGGCTACCTTACAGGGGGGTGGGTGCCAAGGGGCAAATCCAACAAGGACAGCCCAGGCCTCCCTGGCACCAGCTTCCCTGGAGCAGTAGAAGGGACACCCCCTCTCGAATGCACTCCAAGGTGACCCAGAGTGGACAGAACACCTCCCCGGTACACAGTGACAATCAAGCAGCCGCGAACCTCCCAAGAACTTGGGGTTCACAGCTCTGGGACCACAGCCAGAGTGGCCTCTGGCTCCCCTGGTAATCACCACCTAGTCTCCCCGAGAGGATGCGTCCTACAACTGCCCCTGGGGAACAGGACACCTGTTGCATGTCACCTGCCTAGGAAATTGCCCATGACAAGCCCTTCCTGTCCAACAGAGGAAAAGCTGTGCTTGATGAACAAGCCTGCTGAGCACGGACCCTCTCGCTCCTTCCTCTCTGCTGATGGACAGAGAGGACTCCCATGGCACCTGCTGTGAGGGGCTCAGACATGGCCTGTCCACGTCACACTGTCCCACAACGAGAAACCGCTCAGATCTCCCTGTAATCACAGCTGTGGACAGTTCCCTTCGGGGATGAAGGACACAGAGCAGGCTCCCAACAAACATCTGGACAGCTCTTCAGACCCCGACGGGGCAGCTCACAGTCCTGCTGCCCTGGCACCTGCCAGCCATGCCTGCCTGAGGCCTCCCTCTCCATCAGCAGTTTCAACAAGTGACCTTTGGGATTCAGAACCAGCACTCTAGAGCCCACACAGCACCTCCTGGGCCACCATGTGTTCCAGCGACCCCTCTGTAGGAACTGCTAGCAGCCAACCCAACCAACCCCACCATGCATCCTTTCCTTTCCAGCAGGAATGGATACAGACGCGAGGTCTCACCCAGAGCAGCCCACCAGCTGACAGCTCAGGGCTGACACCACAGTCGCCACGGGAGCAAAGCCATGTCTACCCAGAGAGCCACTGCCCAGTCCCCGGCAGGAATGACAGCTGACTTGGGAACTCACCGAAGTGGCACGCCGAAAGTCAGCTCACCACCTGAGACACGCCACCTGGGGGGACAAAACAAACAGCTGAGTTTTCAAACACAAAAAAAGACTGACAAGCAAGTTTGTTTCACTGAAATGAGTGATGTTTTAGATAATAGCTCCCTGGCTGCACACGGTTCAGGTCTCTGTAGAGCTGGCCACTGACAACGGCTGTCCATCAGCAGGGGAGGGCGCTGCTGACCGAGCGTGGCCCGGTGCTTCTGAACCATGCCTCGGCCACTCGCTCTCACAGGCTCCCTCCCTCTGCGGAGCCCAGGTCTCCTCAGAGATCTGCTCTCCTCACTGCACAACACTGGGTGGCAGGCGCCAGTTTCCCATTTTTTCATATTTGAAACCAATTCCTTCCTTTAAAAACAGACTAACCAGGCTGCTTCAGATTGTGCTGCACCACTGCCCATCAGCGTACTGTCCCGTGCTCAGGCCCCCGTCCCCGCCCAGGGGCAGGCGCTGACCCGGCCAACGTGTCCAGCAGCAGCAGCACTGGCATGCCAATCACCGCTGACACTCAAAACCCGCTTGGTGGCTCCAAGCCCGAGGTCGCTCCAGGTGACTCCCCCAACAGCCACTGGGGTTCACATTCTAAAAAACACATGCATTGAAGAAATGGCTGAAGTCCTCACCATAACGGGCCGGGTGCGTACACTTTGACAGCTCTTTGTAAATCCACCACTCTAAATTCTGAGCATTTCCCACAACCTTATTTTATTCCCTTGGGAGAGTCGTGATTAGTATTTTTACAGGAAATGGCTTCTGTGAGAGCCGCCAGGGCTGTCATGAATGGGTCTGTTATAAACGCAGCTCCTGATCAACATGTCACTGCTCTGCGGAGCTCCATGAGTCACAGAAATACTTGAATCCCAGCACTGTTCAAAATAATACAAAAAGACAGAAATCCAGCCCCGACAGTAATAACAGAAAAAAGCAAGGTCACACAGATTCCGACTTCAAACTTCTCAAAGTCAGCCTGATGGCAAGAGGCACTTCCTAGAATAAACAAACCTGACCCAAAGTTCTGACACAACAAGCCACTGAGCAGTAAGCTGTCGGCAGCACGAGGAGCCCGGCTCCCTCTCGGGGGCCCGCCGACTCCACTCTGCTCACGGAAGGGCTGCCTGTGTCTGCTCAGTGAGAAAGTGGTGTCAAGGCTGCCCGGTGGTGTGCGTACTAAGCAGCCCACTCCCCACACGGCACAGTAACAGCTATGAGCCACAGACAAAACCCCGTGTGGCTAGGGCCACTGAAGGCGGGGCCTTGGCCAGGGCCTGCACGGCGATGAGGCCACTGGGGTGGGGCCAGTGCCAAGTCACAACAGATGCTACAAGGCAGGCCACCTCGGTGCCTGTCCCTCTTCCCAAGTGTCCACCTCTGCTGCCCTGGCTGGGACTTGGGGCTCCCAAGCATTGAGCCGCCACAACAAGCAGTCTTGCTGGCTGCTTTCCAGCCATGGGACATGGCCTGCCACTATGACCCAGAAGCCCACTTGGTCCCAATTCCCTCAAGAGTGCACCACAGAGCAGGCGACCCCCTGATGCTAAATGCCCCATACTTTGCAAAACCAGAACCCAGCAGCAAAAATCGCTCCACACATCAGAAAGACCCAGCGCACATGGGGACCTTCCCAGCAGACAGGCTGCCTGGATCAGAACATGGGAGGCCAGGCAGAGGGCCGGCATCGCCAGGACGGTCTTGTGGGGAGGCCGCGGGGACCAGAGAAAAACAGGAAGCAGGGAAGATGGCACAAGGTAGCAGGTGGCACAGGCAAGCTGTGTTGTCCGAGGCAGGGGGTCCCCATGTGGGCATGCTCCCCAAGGACAATGAACTTCAGGCATAACCCTAAGAGGGAGAGTGCCAGAAGCTGACAGGTGGCTGTGATGCGACCGCATGATCCCGGCTCCGCCGGACATTTCCTAGCTGTCTGTACTCCAAATCTGGGTGCCACCATCAGTCAACACAGCCAGGGATTCTGATCAGAATTCCACATGGTGGGAGCCGACACCCACCCTGGACACGCATGCCTGCACATCAGCCTGGGGCCTGCTCCCTGTGACAAACACCTGGGAGTGTGGGATCAGCCTGGCCAGTCTCACGGAGGCAATGGGTGCCCTCACCTGTGAGCCTGGCCCCCCACAGATGGCACTGAGGGGCCCCCCACGGGGGACAGAGGTGAGGACCCTGGAGTCAGCCTTGGCAACTGAACAGGACTGGCTCAACAGCGAGTTCACACTTGCTATGGTCTTCAGACAGGTGTCGGATGACCTTGGGAGTTGTCCCCACCTCCGGGCTCCTCTGCTGTTGACACAGCCGTGGGGGCAGCGGCAATGCCAAGTGCTTAGGTCAGGACGGAGCTCTGGCTTCCAGGTTTGACCTTGGCCCAGTCCTGGCTTCTGTGGGCATTCGGGCAGGAAGTGAGCAGGCAGATCTCTGCCTTAGGTGTGAAACAGTCAGCTTTGCCATCTTTGTCACCACGCTAGCTATGCAACACAGCACGCATGCCTCCATCGCTAACCTCCCTGCAGGGCCCTGGAGACTAGAGGTCACTCCCAGGGAGTGTTCTCTACAGGGCAACCTCAGCACCCAGCCCAGGCTCTCCTGCAGGGCGGCTTCTTGCCCGACACTAGGCATGGCATGGGAGAAGCGTTGTGGGGAAGGTGGGAAGAGCCCTGCCACCAGAGGCAGCAGAGGACTGTCCCCAGTGCAACACCGTCACGGAGCTGACGACAGCCCCAGGACTTGCTTAGCAGACCATACAGTAACTTGCCCACTTAAAAAACATCCTTGAAGGCCCTTGCCCATGGAGCAAGGGGCACAGCGGGGAGGGGATCCCCAGAACCCGCAGCAGCCCGAGGACAGTGGTGGACTGAACAGGAAACACTGCCATATGCTGTGGCTGTAGTCTTCCAAATAAAACTGGGGTGCGGGGAGAAGAGGGGTGCTCTCGGGCAAATCACAAGCACCCGGTGCTGTAGCCTGGTCCTCTCTACCCCCACTCACGAGTATGTCCCTTCTGCCTGCCCCTGGTTTGAGTCAGAGGCCAGGACTGGGAACTGCCACGCCTGCCCTCCAGCTCCGCTCCACTCTTGGGGCCTCCAGGAACATTTGTAAACACTCCACGTACAACTGACACGTACCAGGCTTGTGAGGTGCTTTGCCACAGTGCCAGGAGGCTTACCATCAGGGCACAGCATAGAGGGGGCAGGCACACGTGGATGACCCCCAGCTCTGCCCCCTCCACCCAGAGGGCCCCAACACACATGCCCTGAGCTTCTGGGATACCCCCTATGAGCTGCTCCTACGTGAACCCTAAACCTTGGCTCTGAGGCCACAGGGCATTGGTCTCTGGGGACCCCACATACAGCAGTCCATGGACAAGAGTATGAAAAACTTGAGTTTATTTTCATGTAAAAATATGTTTCCTTACCTCAGTACCATAACGCACCTTTCCCACACACTACGGCTGAGAAATAAACTGCACGAAACCACCCTCACACTTCGGGGGTACCTCCCCACAGGGCTGCTCAGGTCCTGTCCAGCTCCACAGGCAAATGATGCAGCTTGACACCCCACTCGGGCACCAGCACCCTGGTGCCCCCACCAAGGCTCTCCCAGCCGCCCTTAGCAGAGAGTGGCCCTGGGGGGGCAGCCCCCCTCAGACGACACAGCCCAGAGCTGAGTACAGACGGCACCTTCCAGCCCAGCAGCCACCTGCCACAGGGGTCCTGCACTGCCCACCCCCTGCTGCTCCCAGGGCCCTAACCCCACCCGGCACCGGCTATAGACAAGATGTGACAGCAAGCTACAACGAGATGGACGGACACTCTGCGTCAGGAACCAGGCTGCCCATGGCACAAATGCTCCACTGAGGCAAGTGGGCTCCAGCCTGTGCCCCACAGAGGGACACAGGGGATACAGTTCTCAGGTGATGCCAGCTGAGGACCGCTGGGTATGGGCAGACGGAAAGGTCTGCACCAAAACAGGAAATCCAGGGGAGGGCCAGCATCATGGCACAGCAGGTCACGCTCTGTTGGCACCCTGGGATAGGCACCAGTTCCAGTCCCAACTGCTCCTCTTCAGATCCAGCACCCTGCTCCTGCACCTGCCAAGGCAGCAGAAGGCAGCCCAAGTGGGCAGCCCTCAGCAGCAGTCACAGAGGAGGGCATGGCCTCACCTCCACAGCGAGCACCCCAGAGGGTCTCACGGACTTGCAGGAAAGTGTGTACGGACGCTTTCCCCACTCCAATCAACGCCCCGGGGCGGTGGGGAGGGCGCTGAGCACAAGCCCCAGCTGGCCTTCAACTCCAGCTCCCTGCGAACGCACACCCGGGGCGGCAGCAGCTGTCACTCGGGTCCCTGCCGCCCACCTGGGGACTCAGGCTGAGCTCCCAGCTCCAGCCGGCCCGGCCCTGCTGTTGCAGCTGCAGGGGGACTGAACTGGCAGGTGCTGTGCCCTGGGGCACACTAATCTGCAGGAAGAAAATCACAAGTTCTAAAATCCGAACTTTTGTGCCCACACTGACATTCAATGTTATGGGTAAGACACGACTGCAAGCTACCATGGGTTAGCAACAGGTACAAGGGACAGGGGGTGTGCATGACAGATGCAAAGAGGGCTTCCCATGTGCTGGGTCGCTTTCCACATGGCTTCAATGGCCAGGGTGGGGCCAGGTCAATGTCAGGAGCCTGACCTCCATCAAGGTCTCCCACATAGGGGTAGGGACCCAAGGCTATTCTCTTCTGTCTCCCCGGGCACACTGGCAGGGAGCTGGATCGGAAGTGGAAGAGCCAGGACCCGGCCCAGTGTTTAGTACAGGATGCTGATGTTGCAAGTGGCCTGTTACAGCCCTGTGCCATAGCCCCAGGCCAGCCAAGGGCGGTGCCCACAGAGCCCTCAGGGTCACCATGCTTACACCGAGCAGCAGATGCTGTGTGCTCAACAGCCACAACCTACAGAGCAGAAATCCTCCCTCAGGGAACCGCCGGCCTGGAATCGGTTCCTCTGAGTTCTT